CTTGCTCAGTTTGGGGGAAGGAACCTTAAATGAGATGTTTATATAGGTTTCATGTTGCATCTTCAACTTAAATTATTAGGCCAAACTTATCCCAGATGTAATTGTACTGTAGCTAGTGCAGATATATCAAGCATGAATGTGCCCCCCCCCCAAATTCATCCATTCTTAAAACAAAATTAGATTTACTGAGAGTTTAATTATAAATTATCTAATATATTGGAATCGTTTTCCCCTTGTTTGCACATAGGTTATGAAGAGTAGGTGTGTGACAGATTTTTCTTAGCTCTCAAGAGATTTCTAGTGTTCAGCCAAGCACTTTGTTCAGTAGTTGTTCTTTTTATACAGATCATCTTGCCTAGGCAAGTCCAGACTGAGAGACTTGCATGGAGAAGGACTGCCCATGTGGGCTTATGTTTTATATATTTGTCTCCCAAATTAGGAGAAAAAACTGGTGGCACATCGCCAATGATGGGCCTGATCCAAAGCCCATTGCAATCAATGGATGTCTTCCTACTGAATTCAATGATCATAATTTAATTTTAAATTTCATTGAGCATTATACAGCCATTTAAGATGCAGTGTTTGAGAATTAAGGGCCAGATTCTGCAAGGAGCAGGGCCGCTCTTATTTAACTATCTCAACCCTTAACTGAAGCAACTCCGTGCAAGACTATGCTGCTGAGCTCCTCCTCCAAAAATTCCTAGCATCTGGGATTTATGATAAAATGGGAATTTTTGCTCAATTAAGGATCACAGAACTTGGCCCATATTTGTATTTCTGGCATCTGAATGAACTAACCCAGAGCACGCACAGATCTATACTGTGTATTAATATAAATGTCAGTATTATGAGTAAAACTAATTAAAATATTGCCAGGCAGTGTTGCTATAAATTGAATTGAGAAAGATACAAGTTGTTCAAATCACATTAAACTCTATTGGTGTTATTGGAAGGCAATTGTTGTGCTGGTAGTTTTAATGTTGTATGCAGCTATTCTCACCTAATCCGAACAACTTAACATCATGGTTTCCATGCAGTTAGTTACCAACTCTAACTGGGCACGGCTAACTGGGCTCTGGAGTCATAACTTCAAACTGCAGATATGTCAGAAATCTCCAGAATTGCAAAATGAAATTGTTCTATTTGTTGTGATTGTATCAACAAATGATACAAAATGCCTCTATAAAAACGTAAGAAATAGGACTGCGGTACCAGAGTGGTTTAGAATATAATATATTTGTAGCTTATTGATATAGTGGCTTTGGTTTATTACACATTTATTTATGGCTCTAATAGCATTACATCTGAGAGTTTCTAATTAAAATTTAGAAAGCCTAATAAATTCCGATTTCACCCTGATCTCTTTCAATTGATGGTGTTTAGAATAGTATTGAGGAATAGTGAGGACTTAAGTGCGCTGATGAGTGTGTAGAGCAACTGTAATTGGTGTTTGTTTTATTGACAGTACACATGCGGGCAGGCAAAATATCTAAGACCAAATTCTGCCCTGGTGTACATGGGCATAAGCTTTGAAATCCATGATGTTAGATCAGGACCAGTTATAGTCCTTTACTTGTTTTACAACATTTTTGTATCACTGACTTACTATCTTTCAAGGGCCCTATTTACCCTGGTGTAACTCTATTGACTTCAATACGGTCACTTCTATTTACTCCTGGGCTTAATTTGGTGACTGCCATGTAACTTGATAATGTATGGTGTTCAGTCCTACCATAACCAGTATGCTTGCATCTTTCTATAGAATCTAGTCTAGCTTTCCCCTGAACCACAATATTGCAGCGTTGTGGGTTTTTTTTTTAATGCAAAACAAGGAATAATTGGCAGTTTCACCTCCTCATGCTTTGAGGAGACTTTTATTTATTTATTTTTATTTGAATTTAAGATTGGAACAAAACCAAACTCAGGAAGATGGTGGAACATGTATCATTCCCTGTCAAGCCCAACCTGAAAACCAGGCAAACAGTAATGCCACCCTGGACTGTTTACCTTTTTGCCTGGCGCCCTTGTCCAGACAGAAATTCCTCCTTTAATGGGGCAGGCACCTTTTGGAGTCGCTGGCAGTGTACTGCCAATTAAATGCTGCTGCTCAAGAGTTGGGAGGAAGCCTGGGAGGTGGGAAGGGTTTCAAAGCCAACTCTAAGGCACATGCCTGGAGTGAAAACAGAACTGCTGCCATTTCACGGTCCGCCAGATGGAATGATTTTGGAGGATCTGCTGTGAGGAAATCTTGGAAGGGTTGTCTCTCCTTCCTGGGATACTGCCACAGGACGAAGTGATCTGGGCCATAGCTTGGTAAATAATCTCATAAGCTCTCTTTAAGAAGTAGAACTCTTTATTAACTTATTAACTCAGTGCAGATGCATGTAAAATACATTAAGACCCTGATCCTGCAACTAGATCTGTGTAGATTGACTCCCTATACCAATGAAGAGTCCCAGTGAAAACATTGGGGGGTCCACACAGGAGCTGGGGTCTTCCTCTGCAGACTAATTGGTTCAGTTCTTGCACAGATGGGAAATGCCACTTCCTGTATCTCCAATATCACTTTCTGCAGTTTCCTAGGCTTTTCTTAACGCCTCCTCCATCCAAGAATTGTTCAGCCCAATCCTACTTAGTCTATGATCTCAGCCCCAGATGGTATGGGAAATGTGTATCTGCTGAAGTCAGATGTGCATAGCAAACAGTAGGAGGCAAATAGGGATATTTTCTGTAGACACCTTTGCAGTCAACCATCGTGAGGCCTTAGAGAACTGAACTGAGTATAGATCTCTGGTGGGATTTTTTAGAAGCACCTAAGACATGGGAGCACATGTCCTATGAACTGTCAACAAGACTTTTGTTCTAAGGCCTAGATTTTTTTTTTAAATTTTCTTAGGCATTGCTCCATTCAGCATTGCAAGACCTAGCTGACTTCGGAGCCTAAGTCCCTTTGAATTTCCTTTTAATATATGTTTTATTCTATATAAATTGTATGAATTTCAGTGGGACTTACACAGTGCAGCATTGGGCAAATAGGTCCAGATTTTTAAAGACATAGAGGTGTCTAAGTCTTTAAGGCTCTCAAGACAATTCCCTCCTTTTCTTCACTATATTATAAACTTTGTTGTTCCATGTGTGACGGGTTGGACTCTCCCCCTCTCACCCCTCCCAACCCCCCCTGTCCAGGATGCCACCCGATATGCTAGGGTCCCACTGGTTCCGCCCGTTCCACCAGGCTGGTTTTCCTCACCTTGTCCTAGCTGTGCCAGTCTCTCAAGCCTTCTATAGCACACACACAGGTAAGGCCACACCCAGCTGCAGACACAGACTGAAGTCAGCTCTGTGTGAGAGGATTCACCCAGAACTCATGTGCACACCCCCTTTGGGGAGTAAACCCAAAATAATATTGTCTTGTGCTGTATAGAAAGATCTGCACATTGCAAGCTCATCAAAATTTATCCTCTCCCTCAATGTGGAGAGAGAGATGCACAGCTTACCCTCCCCACCCCCCAGATATGAATTGCACAAACTGGGTTTTGGAATAAACTACTAACAGGTTTTCTTAACTATAAAAGGTAGATTTTAAGTGATTATAAGGGATAACAAACAGAACAAAGCAGATTACTGAGCAAATAAAACAAAACACACAAACTAGGCTTAATACACTCAAGAAATAGGTTACAAAATGTAATTTCTCACTATAAGTGTTGTTTTAGGCAAGTTGCAGAGTTTCTGTAGCTTAGAGTTCCAGTTATTTCTCTTTACAGACTAGACTCCTGCTTTCGTCTGGACTTAGCCCTTGCCTTTCCCTCAGTTCAGTTCCTTTGAATCTTCAGGTACTTTCAGCAGTCTTCCTTCTTGGGCAGGAAGGCAATGGAGAAGAGACCTGTTTGCCTTACTCCCCAGCCTTAAATAGAATTTACATAAAGTGGGAAGCCTTTGTTTCCAGTGGGAAAGTACTAACGGTGTCCAAGGTGGTACTTTTTATCAGGCAACATTATCACCTGACCTTGCAATGTCAAAGCAACCATGAAACCAATTTTATTTGCAATGTCCACAGGAAGGAACTCCTGGAAGATGGGGGATCCACATCTTTGAAGACTCATTGTCTTTTTCCTAATGGCTCATTAAGGCTGATTGCTTACTGTCTGGTGGGCATCTCCAAGTGTAACCACAGTTGTAATTGTTATATAGTCAACATTCCTAACTCCAGATACAGAAATGATACATGCATCCAAATTGGATAATCACATTCAGTAAATCACAATCTTTCCAATGATATCTTACATGAGCCATATTGTATACAATATATCTTAGTTATGCCCTATTCATATCATAAGCATATTTCTATAAAGAATATGGAGTGTCACATCACACTATGTATTCCTGTAGAGGCTGTAATGGGATAGGCCCTTCCTGTACACACAAGGACAGCTCCTGTTCTGCATAGGCACAGAGCTCCTCCCATGTGGAGCAGTTTGTAGAATCAAGGCCTGTGAAGATGAGCAACACATGAAGGGCAGGGATAAACCATCCTCTTCTCTTTATCCCATTAACTGGGGTTTGGGTCATCATGCAACCTCCACCATCTTTGTCTGTCCAAGGTGGCACTAAGATCCATCTGTTGACCATCTTCTTTTATTCAATTCATCCACCACTTCCTCAGCTTTCCTTGGGGTCTCTTTTCTACCACCCTCTTCTTTTCTAGGTCTCCTTCATTCAGTTGTACATCAAATAACTAAAATAAAGGAGCATTTTTCAAGGGAAAATGCACATAACTTGGCCCGTGTATCCATAGGAACTCATTATTCCATTATGTATGCTGTGTGAGTGTAAATAGTTCCACAAGTAATTTTTAAATGTATAGCTGCCATAAATTAGGTGAAATTTCAGCTGAACTACTGAATCTCCAAGCTGCGTTAGGGGGGAGGGCTTGTTTTTTGTTTCTGTAGGTTTTTTTTCACATGATGGTTTGATAGTTGTCATCTTGTTCTCAACAGACTTGAAATAATGAAATCAAGAAGCTTTTGGTCACTTCTGGTGTTGCTTGAGGTCTTCCTGTCCGTCACTTGTGGGTGGATGGAATCGGACAGGATCAGAAGGCTTTATGCGGATGCAGGGAGATTGCAACAAAAGGTACTGTGAATCAGCTGTCATTTCATGTTCTCTCTAATGCTGTGTTCAGCTTTTTCAATGTGGTATGGGAAAAGCAGCGAGGGTCACATGGTGAAGATAAATACTTGCTGAGGGGGACAATGACAATACTAATGGTGAGCTATATGTTCTATAAAACAGAAGGCTTCACTTCTTCTCCCCACCTGTAGTTTCTTTTCTTAGTATATTACAGAAGTGTTCAAAGTCTCCAAGTGTTATACAAACACACCGACCTTGTCCCTACCCTATATATGGACAGTCACCTGAGGATCTAAAATCTTAGAAATTGGTATTCTCATTTTACAAAAGGGGATGCTAATCCACAGTTATTTTCAAGTGGCTTGCCAAGATCCTCACTCAGAACCTTCCCACATTTCATTATATTCCCCAAACCTGAGGCTTGTGATGTAATATGGGAAAATGGAAAGGATTTCTAAAGGTATAATAGTTCATCATTGCTTACTATTACTAAGACTGCATACAGTCAACAGAGTAACTTTATAGTGTGTTATTTGATCACAAGGCATGACTTCTCATTCATTATTATATAATTGCAATGCACTCTTAAACCGACAGGCACTAGGCTTCTGGGAACTGTGCAAGTAACTGAATCTGTGTTTTCATTGCTGAAGTTAAAATGTTGGCTTTCTTTGCAATGATTAAACAGAGACTCTCTATAAACTCTGAATAGCATTCTGCACCAGTATTTCAAGGTAAAAATATTCAAACTGTGTCCTTATCAGAGTTCTTGATGTGAATTTGTTCATCATAATAGGCATGTTAATATCTAGGAAGCTCATTTTTTAAACTTATTTTTAAATAATGAGGCCCAGACCAAACTTGTGGGGAGAACAAGAACATTACTGAACATTTTTTAAAAGTACAATGAGAATGATGACTCTTTTTTTTATTTTATTATATTTTTACTTCCTATTTATCATGAATTTTCTAACGAATTGCCTTGTTTTCAAAATGAGTGACTTTTTTTTCAAATTGGCAGACTCTTGAAGCAGTTGCTTAATGGCATACTTGAGGCATGTTAATTGTTAAATCACAGATTCTGGACCAAATATTAGCCATTTAAAGTATTTTTATGAAGGAACAGCCAGCAAGGCATTTTTATATTTAAGAATGTTTGGTTTTTCTCTGTGTGCGCGTACGTTCATCTCTCAATAAGATGGTTTACATTATGTGTTTCTCAAGATATACTATAAGTACACTTATTATTCACTGCTGGATCACTTCAAAAAAATCAATTCTGACCGAGTTGGTGATGACACTGCAAAGGTTGGCACTCTGTCTCTCATGCTCACAGGCACTCTTTCCGTGATTTTTAGAGCAACAAAAATCTGTTACTGCTTTCAGCTCTCCTGCCTCTACACCCCCACCCACATCATGCCATCTATTTTTCTGCTTTCGAGCCCTATGCAGGATACTAGTGCTTGTAATGTTAAATGAATTTAGCATGTGTGCTTTAAGATCCACTCTCATGTCTTTTGTTTCAAATTACTTTTGCTTTCTTTTTAAAGATAACTAATTGTATCTTGCATGCTTTTTGGATTTAGAAACCGTTGTGCCATTCTTCATGAAGTACATGCTTATTAGAAATTTGACTTTCTAAAAGAATGTTACTCCTAGGAGTGAAATTCATTAATCAAATGATTTAGTAACATAGTTTTATATTTTTATATTAAAATACTTGAAAGACATTCATTCATTTGATCTTGCTCTAAAACCATAAAGTTATTACCCCAATTACTTGATTTGGCTCAGGGTGAAAAGATCTAAGCTCCTGATGTATTTGTTCAAAGATTTGTAAAAGATTTATAAGAAGTGTGAATATTATTAAAATATTGAAATGTTTTTATGTACAAAGGCTGTAGTTGAAATAGCTTCAAGGGGTATAACATTTATAAATGCAGATTAAATAAAAAAGTAGCAGCACAGAAGGCTTGTTCAACAAGCAATACTGTTTGTACAGTGAGGAAGAGAATACCAATAGGAATTTGAAAACAAATTACATGCAACTCTATTCCAGACAGTCAATGGAATTGTGAAATAGCCTGCCATTCTCTTTTAATTTCTTTCAGAATAAAGGCATTTCACCCTTTCAGAAAGTACAGCTTGTTCATGCCACTGTTTATCACAACAAAAACTATTTGGGAAGTTCCTATTCTCTCTTGGTTATATTTGCTTCTGTTTAACTTCGGTTTTATTTCCTGTCCTATAACATCAGCAACTTTACTGTTCAAGAAATGGAAACCTTGTAGTTTCTCACAGTTCATGGATTTAGAACCCGTGACAGTCAGTTGCTTTGTCATGGTGGTGGTTTGTTCATAAGAAATGTTTATTAATTATCAAACAAATGGTTTCTGACTTATATATAATTGCTGTAATTCTACTAGAAGACATTCAAACCATGGAATGATAAATGGCAAAATTCCTAAGCTGTAACTGTAACTAACTAAAATTACATTTTAAAGTTAATTTTCTTAGAATAAGAAAAGGGCTATTTCACAGGTCAAATGATCTCAAGTTAATTTTGTAGAGAGTTTTTAGTTCAAAATATATCAAAACAAGGGTAAGGGACGCAGTAAGGGTCCCCCACCTTTACAAGTGTTTGCTCATAGGCGCCAGTTTACTGAATCAAAAATGTATTGCTTAATTTATGTTCAAATTCCTAAATCTATTTCTTGCTGGTCTATAGTAGAACTTCTTGTGTTTGTGCTTTGAATTTATAAAGCACAAGCAAGATTTGCGGCTCTAGACTGTGCCCTTCATGTGTGATATGTTTTCACCCTTATGTCCAAGAAATCTAAATCTATATTATCATGGCAGTGTGTGTTTTCCCGATGCTCAGCAATCCCTCTCTTTAAAAGTATAGGACCTTCTTGAGAAAATGAAATCATATTTCTTCTTTGAGTAGTACTTTAATTAGAATAGTAACAATATGCATACACATTTATTGGGTCTAAGTGCCTGTGGCTGCATAATGAATTAAAACTAATACCATAACTTATTTTTAAAACACATTATTATTATTATTATTTATTAAGCACCAGCTGAGTGCTCAGCAAGGTACATGATCCAGCGAGTCACAATTCTTCAGAAGCTCAGTCTTTAATAGCCTGATTCTACAAAGTGTCTAGAAGCTCTTGCAAGGTTCCGGGAGCCCTCTACTCCCATGAACTTCCGTTGGAGTTTAGAGAATTCACTTTTCCCTGCATGCGATCAAAAAGAGTCAACATGGCCAGGACACAGGAGGAAAATACATTGAGTCTTTTAGAGGAAGTTTTTCTCTTAGAACACTCACTAAAAGAGTTTAGCAGGGGTGGGTTTTGTGGACAAAGTAAGACTTAAACATTGGATGAGATTCTGGAATCCCAGAAGTTGGGAAAATCCCTAATAGCTGCTCTTTTACCCCATTGACATAAAAAGGCAACTGTCTGAAATCCACATACCTAAGAAAATTATAATGTCTTCAGTTTCAGTCTCCAGTAAGGCTGTCCGGAAAACAATTCCATTTTACACACAGTTTTGAGGTTTCAAAATTTGTTTTTGTTCCAACGTGGAGTAAAACCAAGACCTTTAGAAAATTGCATAACTATCCCCATAAGACATTGATACCCTAGAATAGCACAATTCAATCACCGCTCCAAATCAGGCAGAGCAGGGGCTAGAATGTGGGTTTCCCATATTCGCTGCATATGTCCTGACTATTGGGCTATCAGCTATTCTGGTCTCTCTTGTTCAGACCCGGAATTCCATCCTGGACCTGAGAAACATTTTAATCAAAACAGGTATGTTTTCCCATGAAATATTAAGGTTTTGGTGAAATGACCTTTTTTGAGAGAGAAAGATTTGTCAACTTTTTTTTACCAGCTCTAGTCACAAGGAAGCTGCTGACAAATTCTGTCATGTTAATAGGGAGGTATTACTAAAAAATCAACATTGAACAACTGAGCTCTTAACATTTAGGTTGTTTTCACATACAGCAAAAATGGTGAGTTATTTAAGATTAAATCATAACATATGGAATTTAAACATTTGCAGGCTTAAAAACAAACACAATCAATCTGGGATGTTATGAAGCTTAAGTGTGAAATCTCAACCCTATAGAAATTAGAGAGTTTTGCCATTGACTTCAATGGGGCCAGGATTTCATCTTAAATTTTTCAGCATCCCAAAATAACAACCACTTTCCAAGTTCTAATATTCCTTAGAGGCTGCAGATCACATCTGAGCCAATGTATAACATCTTTGAAGTTTGGCTTATCTAAGAATGGGAATTTAATTGTTGTCTTTGGTGGTACAATATTCTCTACACTGCTTTAGCTCCTGAGGTCTTGATGATGTGCTTTAGTTCAGAATGCCAGAAAAGGCCACAACTTTATTGAGATGAAAAATGGAAGTATATTTTTCTGCTCTAAACTAGTTCAGAGTTGAGACACCTCCTTAAATTATCTATCCAAAAAAGCCATTCGGGCTCCTGTTGCCAGAACCATATGCCACAAATGCTGCTAAACCTAGGTTTAGCTGGCTTCCCCCTGTTGCTTTAGATTCCAACCAGCCCTACAGACAGATCCAAAGATGATTAGACATCAGAACTAGTAATGGGTTCAGGAGGTGTCCTTCAGCTTTGGATTGCCCTTAAACTAGAGCTTGAGTATGAGACTGATCAGGGCTAGCACTATGGTTTCATTACCTTGAATGATGGAAATATCACTAGATTGGATAATGTGAGTTGTCTACCATCTTCGCTGAAATCTTGCAAGAACAACTATTTCCTGATACGTTAGTCAAACCCAAACTGGAACGAGAAAATAGGCTTATTTTTAAAATCAAACCCAGAACGAAAGTCTTATGGGGAGTTTAGCACCCAAGACTCCAGTAAAAGCCTGCCCAGAAATTTTGAAGGAGTTTGGAAGCCAATGGGACTACTCACATGAGTAAGTTAGTCCCTGCAAGATCAGCACCTATGC